AGCCCCCCCCCCCCCTCCCCCCTACGTACGTACCTCGAGATTTTCCTCCGCGTCGCCGCCGGCGGCATGGCGAGCCCCACCACCTCGACTGCTGCCGCGACTGCGGCTGCGTACCAGAAAAAATAACGCCTCCTTGTTGGACGGTGAAGAAGGTGAAGAAGGCGAAGAAGAAAAAGAAGAAGGGCCATCACCATCAATAGTCCAAGAAGGGAGACGAAAAATCCCGTTGTCGGTGCTCCTGCTGCTGCTGCTGCTGCTGCTGCTGCTGCTGCTGCTGCTGCTGCTGCTTGTGGTGGTGGTGTTGCTGCTGCGTTTTCCAAGGTTGTTGGCTGTGGTGTTGTCCTTGGTTGTGGTGTCGTCCCCAGCTCCCACGGTGCCATCATCGCCCGTCGAACATGAGCTGGCCAGGGATTCCTCAAGAAACCTCTCGAGCGACGCCATCGTCAGGTGCGGAAACCCTTCCCGTCCGCTCTAGGTACCAAAAATACACATGCGGTGGAACAAAGCGGTATTGATTGCAGAGACCGCGGGGGCGGGTCAGGAACCAGTTGTTGTTATGCAGGTCGAGAATCGAAGAATAAAAGAATCAAATTGATGCACCATCTTTGCCAAGACGGAACCAGCAAAACATCGTGTATGACACAAGACAACACACCCCCTGAACCAATTTTCAAAGCTCGATTACGCCATGACGAAGAGGATGTACTTACGAAACGGTATACAGTTTCGGAAAGCTCTCGACGAGACAGCTTCGACGCCACTGTTTTCGGCGCTGTGAGTTTTTCTGTTGTTGAGAAATCGAGATTTGAATATCGGTCCTGCGGGTGTGTTATCTTGTGTCATTTACGGTATGCCAGTACCTCTCGGGACCTCCAGCACGGGAAGGCCGATCGTCGTACATACATTCTCACGTACACTACCTGTTGTGCTGTTTCAACCCCTGGGAGTCGTCCAGGAGGCACGCGAGGCCCCGTCACAACCCCCGGAGCCCCCGCTGGCATCATCAGTGGCGGTGTTGGGTCCCTTAGCGGTCGTGAGCCTGTCTCAATAGCCGGCCGCGGCGTTGCCCCAGAAATTCCGCCGCTATCACCGCCGCCATCGCCACCGGCGCCGTTGCGGTGACCGGTGATGCCGCCGTCTAAACCGCCCCGTTTTTCGCCGCCGCCGCCACCGCCGCCACAGCTGCCGCCGCCATTTGGACCCTTCGAGACGCCCACCGCCGCTTCCGACCTGGCTGGCAGCGTCGCCGCTGCAACAGCAGCAGCAGCAGCAGCAACGGCCATTCGCGCGCGCGCCGCCTGCAGCGAGCCATGTTGGTGCTGGTGCTGGTGCTGGTGCTGGGCGCGCTGTTCTAACGCTGCTGCTGCCCCTGGTGCTGGAGAAGCCGCCTGCGATAATAGGTAATAGCGCGTTGAAAAGAATAAGCTGTTCGGGATACGGTAGGGGGTGGGAGGCGAGAGTAGGTGATGAGAAAAAATAGGAGAGAGGAGGGGAGGGGGTGGTATGCACTCCCAAACGGTTTCCTATCGTAGGCGCCAACGGTGGAGGCAAAGGGAAGAGCAGCAGCAGCAGCAGCAGAAGAAGAAGAAGAAGAGAAGAGGAAGAAGAAGGACCAGTGACACGACAACAGGACGTGAGACAAGGCCTGCGACATGTACCTGCTGGGATACTTAAGGTGTACAGGCCGGTTCAGGATGAGCGCACGAAAATTCCCCGCGCTCAAAACAATTGTTGTTGTTGTTGTCTTCACATTAAAAATGTTCCGATCTCTCTCTACCCAGTACCTTCGTATGTCCGTGCTGATACAACACTCGACGCGGTCGATTCCCGTGGTCGCAGGCTAACTTACCCTAAAAAGGTACACTCAAATAAAATGGCCCCGAGGGGTCCGCAAGTCAATAGAAATCAACGACAGATATTCTGGAGTCCTCCACTCCCTCTGCGCGCTATGCGAGGTAACAACTGAGACTAGCAGTCACCATCACGGGCCGCAGAGAATGAGGTACACCCCCTTGGTTCAATCTTGGTACTTCACAACGCAAGCAGAAACAAGGCCATCTGGCACAGAAAAAGAGAGAAAAAGAGACAAAGAGAAGAAAATAAAAGGAAACAGCAGTAAAAGGAAAGAGAAAATGAAATAAAAAAAGCGAGGACAAAAAGGGACCAGGCCGAAAATAACAAGAAATAAGATACAGAAAAAGGCACACGGTGGAGAGACCACTAACGACAAGCAAACACGCAAACATGGCCACCAACCAGCGATGCATTGTAATGGTACGTCATCACTAGTGGGGGGTTGGTGCAATGGTGCAGCGTTGGGGGGGGGGGAATTGGCTAAAAGAAATTCAATCCGGCACGTATCGCGCCACTCGGTCCGTCTCTTCTCGTTTGCTTTTTTCCCTCGCCGTCTCGTCCGTCTCCTGCCCCCCTCCCGCCCCATTGGTTGGTGGCTTGTGGTTTCGTTTGAGCGCCCGTTGTCGGCTGGCCTCTTCTTCCTTCTCGTGCCAGGAGGTCATGAACCTCTCAGCTCCCTGCAGCACCGCCGCATGCCAGGGTACTCCCCCCTCTACCTTCGCGGCTTCCGTCCACTTTAACGTCGGTGCCGTGTCTTTCGGTACCGGGATTCCGAAACAACATGGATCGGTTTTCGAAGATCCGTGGTTGGCCCCGAATGCTTTCAGGTCGTCGAGCACACACTTCGGCCAGTTCTGTTCCTGTCCCCCCCTACGTCGCTTCTCCCCCCCTGCCAGTTCGCCGAACATCAGTCGTTTCGGGAATCGCCCGTCCGGCTGCCTTGCCAATGCTCCCGCGAACAGTAGGCGTCGTTGTCGGATCGTGGCTTCAACGCTCTGGCATTCGACCCTCTTCAGCGTCTGGGCGTAAGAGAGCTGCCGGTAGGTGTCTTTCTTGCGCTT